GACAGCCTTCAGGGGCCAATCCAGGACCAAGAAGCTCTTCTTCTGAATCATCATGTCGCGAATCGTCGCCCCACAATGGGGCCCCTTTTCTGCTCCTTGATGATCCGGATCAACCGTCCAGGTGCGTTGTCTGGGTTCTTCTCTGCCTGGATCAACGCGTTGATGGCTTTGGCGCCTGGAAGGCGTCCAGTAATCAAGCATCCTGTTTGGGCACACATGAAAGCATACAGCTGAAGCCATGCCGCATTCCCTTTTCCAACATAGGAAAGAATGATCTTCTCTGCGCTGGTCTTCTCCTCGAAATGTAATAGCGAAGAAGTCAGGCATCTCAGCACACACTCCCAATATGTCGCGTTCTTCCCGTCTGCGAGACACGGCCCAAATGCAGTTTGTATGATTGGGTACCCTGTGTTGGCGTCTATGTTGAACTTCACGTTGACAGTCGCGCCACTCAGAGTAATACCCCCTTCGAATGAGGTGTATGTGTCGAGTCCAGCAGTTGGGTTGATGATTGTCCATCTGTCATCATCACCACCGGAGTTCATGCGGAATATGGAGTCGATGATCTCGTTGTCGATCTTGACGGCATCGCTTGCATACGACCCCCCACTTGAAGCTCCCTGCTGGGGGACTGGCCCACCAGAGGTTTGTTTCCTTTGCCCGGAGCTCGCTGACTTCTGCTGTCGCTCCGTCTTCTGCGGCGGTTCCGTCTTTGATGAACCCATTACCCACCACGTCGGCTCCTCTCCGATCGCGAAGTCCTTGGGGTACCTCTCCAGTTCCCTGTTGGCTTCGTGAATGGTGCAGTAGGTGTTCTGGTCGAAGTCGATCATGTTGTCCTTCTCCGCCTTCCTTTCAATCTCCTTCAGCCAGCTTACCCACTTGCGCCGATCTTGGTTCTCAGCGGCCCTGTCAGCCGCGTGTGGCGCCAAGCTGATGGAATTGATGTTCATCGCAGGCAGCGTTGATTCGTAGATCATGTCGATGCACCACAGGAAGTTCCTGGCGACCTCGATCTCCCGATAGAGGTCCCTTAGCTCGGACTTGTCCTGACGGAAATGTACGACTGATCCGTAGCATGCCTTTCCCCGACCAATGGCTGCAACCTCCTCATGATGAAGGAAACGCACATAAGTGCAATGCATGCGTCAGAGATGTCGCTGGGGGTTGACCCACAGATCATCCAGCGCAAAAGGTTGTGCTGGTGAGCTCTTTCATCTCTTCTCATTGCATACGCGAGGTTCTTCATCGACGCACGCAGCTCATTCTGGTAGGTCAGCCCAAGGTCCCAATTCTTCTGGTAGTCGTCTTTTGTGCCACGACCGTAGAAGTCAAGCTTGGGAGCCTTGATCACGCTCAACGTGAATACCTTCCCCCAGCTTCGATCTCTGAACTTCGAAATTCTTCGATCATGCCTTTCGAACTCTGCAGTTGTCAGAAACTCCTCGGAGCTCCTCCACCTTCTTGACGACGAGGTTCTGGTTGGTTCATCGCTGATGAACTCCTTGTAGACTTCCCCGACCGGAGTGTCTTGGTGGAACGCAGCTGTGAAAGACCGTTCTTCATTGTCCTCGGCCACACCTGATGCGAGATCCCAAATATCTGCGATGGATCTCAACATATCTGCCCCTTCGATGCAATACTTGGTGACGTTGAGCAGTTCAGGATTCTTTGCTAGTAGTGATGCCTCACCGCAAAGCTGGTTCAGCGCCGCCACAATCTTCTTCCCTTTGCTGCAGAACTCCCTCCAACCAAGCATGCATTCGTCAGCAGAAAGTTGTCCGAAAACTTTACTGATAAACTCCAACGCAACCCTCATGGATTGCCCTTCTCCTTTCATCATTCCGCGGCACCTGGCAGAGTAGTACGCTGAGTAGGCGTAGATGGCGGGGACGCCAATGTCCTCGATCCACTTCATGCATGTACCCAGGTCGCTGCCCATTTCCATTCTCTTGGGGATTCTTTTGCCCTCCTCGATGGCGTTCTTCACGAGGTTCCCCAAGAATATTGCCGCTTGCCTGGATTTCCCAACAGGCACGCAGAAGAATTCATTCGTATTGACGACGGTCGCATTGGCAGTCATCTTGATGATATTCTCCAGAACCGGGAAAACCCAAAATAGGCAGCTGCAAATAAAGCCACAGAATAGTCCCAATAAGCGCCCAGCTTCTAATTGAGGTGCGGGACTGGCCCAACTTTTTGTTCGAAACTTGAGGTTCGGGACGTCCCCGTTGGAACCTGAGGTTCGGGACTAGCCCAGCTCCTCGTTAGTACTGTCGGGGCGGTGCGAATCTCACACGCAGCAGCTTGATGCTTCCGCGAGTTCCCTCGCGTAATGCAAGCAAGAGCGAGTTTCAATGGTGCCGGCTGAAGGCACTTTGCTCGAGCACGAAAACGACGGAGGATCACACCTACAAAAAACGACGTGTACAACTGGGTTTCTTTGGTTTCCCGACCCACAAGGTCCATGCTCATGGCTTAGACAACGGTCCATGCTCATGGTTTCCATTACACTTCTTAGACAACGAGCTGCCAAGGTCAAAGTTCCACGAAACAACTCTCCATGGTTTCTTGATTGGCATGGGTTTCTTCGCATACCTTTGCTTCAAGCCATAGCGACACCCATCAAACTCATGACTAATGCCATCATGAACAACCTCATGCAGTCTCTCATCCTTCCAATAATCGCAACTTCCAGGCAACTCAAACAAAATCGCAGCGCGTTTCGTCATGGCATGCCGTTTGATTTCAACGAACCGTTCAAACAATTTCCAAAATTCCTTCTGTTTGGCCTCGATTTTCTCTGCAGTGTCAACTCCGCGAGTCTTGTTGAGGCGTGCCCATGATGATCCCCCCGCGCAAGGCCCGGCGAAGAACAACAAATCGGAGGGTTTAGTAAGCACATGTCTAGCGATTCTCCCCCCGTACTTGCTCAGTAAGTCATCGACCAAAGTGATGGTCACGACCTGCGGCCCGTTATGTCGGGCAAGGGCAGTGAACCAGTTACGCGGTTCGGAACATGCCATCAGCACAATAGGCCGAGCCAAGTCAACACTGTACAAAGTGACGACTGTGCGAGTTCTCATACCAGGAAGCGAGACATGCACCGGAGCGCGAAGCACACCACCGTCATGTTTAACCATCGCGAGCTCAATACCCGGCGCTAACTGTGGTTTGTGCTTCACCGCAATGCGATACGGGACAAAACAACGACCAGGAACATGTTGCTCATGACTGGTATGCAGGCAACGCATAAGCAGCTTCAACCGGAGCAAGGTTTCCAAAGCAAGGTCATTGACACATTTTAATTCAATGCGCTCGTTCGACAGTTCTTCAACGAATGCGGCCAGCACGGACTGCATGTCAACATCCCCGGATCCGACGTGAATTGGTCGTGGTCGTGGAGATTGCTCCCGCGCCGGTACAGCAACCGGTACGGGATGAAACTGCCAAACTGCGCGCTCAACCCACCCATCAATCCGCTCACACTGCAACCCAGGGTCGACCCTGTCCTCAACTTTGAGCCATGACCCGTTCCTCAGAAACCAAGTGGAACGAAGCCACTTGCTCCCGAATGGTGTCACAACCGCGAGTGGAGGTTTCACACGCATCAATCTGGGTCCTTTGGCAACGACAACCGGATCATGTCCGTCTTAAACGGGTAACTTGAGCCAAAGATGGACGCCACCAAACAAAAGGTCAGCATATTCGGAGCGAAGCTCTGAAAGGCGAAAGAGTTCAATCACTCAGGCGCACCTCTTTTGCTCTGCAGTGTCATGTCGGGGGAAACGATCACAAAGAATACGCCGCTTTGGAGTTAGCAGGCGCATGTTACCGCTTTCTCGTGAGCTGGTAAGCGTGTGCCCTGGCTTTGTTCGAGCTCAGGTTATTTCCCCCCCTCAGGGTTGGGATCTTACTTGGGTGGGCCAAACTCCATAGCTCAGACGCCACGAAGGGTTTTTTTAACCCGCCCTCCACACCCATTGTAGCACTTGAGGTGCTACGGCTGAGGAAAGAGGGATGAAAAGAAAGATGTTCGAGCATGAGACTGTCGACACGTCTGTTATAAAAATTTGAACATAAAAAGAGCTGACGGAAAATCAGAGTGACCGAAAGGTTTCAATGGCTCAAGCGCATGTTCCCTTTATACAGGAAGGGAGACTGCTATTACCCTTAAAAAGACAAAGCTATCAACTTCGTTGAGAGCACTCGTCTTAAACGGGTAACTTGAGCCAAAGATGGACGCCACCTAACAAAAGGTCAGCATATTCGGAGCGAAGCTCTGAAAGGCGAAAGAGTTCAATCACTCAGGCGCACCTCTTTTGCTCTGCAGTGTCATGTCGGGGGAAACGATCACAAAGAATACGCCGCTTTGGAGTTAGCAGGCGCATGTTACCGCTTTCTCGTGAGCTGGTAAGCGTGTGCCCTGGCTTTGTTCGAGCTCAGGTTATTTCCCCCGATCTAGGTGAGCGAGGTCATATGGATCGTTATTCATCGAGATGATCCACGAAGTGAGACTCTCTTCTGTGACAAGCATAGGGTCGCGCTTCATGCCCAGTCTACGCGCTGCCTCCAAAGCATGGCCTCTCGACGGCTCATCACTGGGATTTGAAAAACTGCAAACTCGTTCGTACCAAGTCTGAGTGGGGTGCCACAGACAAAGCATGTGAAGGACACGTGTCAGGGCCCTCATCGTCGGAGCCGGGGATGAAGCTTTAATGGCGCATGCCCGCGCAGCCTCATTATCAATCCAGCAAATAAGTTGTCTGTCCACCCATAGCTTGCGGTGATGATACCGAATAGCCAGCAAGGCGTACAACTCAAGCTGTGAAATAATTTGAGAACCGGCAAGCTCTAACCAATGGTTCATCAACGTTTGAGGAATGTGGATTTCACCGCAGCTCCTTGTAGCAGTCATGCGATCTACAAGAATGTATCCTGCCGACCCAACTCCATTCTCAAAAGCAGCGTCGGTAAAGACAAGGACCGGACTGTCATGCTTAGACCTCGTGTAAGACCTCGGAGGGAGGTCCCGAAGCAAAACCTTGACGAAATTGCAAAGTCTCAGCAACTCATGGTCACCAGAGGTACCCTTTGCAACGCGAGCAAACTCAGATACAAAAGGTTTCAGGACCTTGGTGAGGTAGAAGCCCGAGGCGAAGTTTAGGAGCCCCTGCAACTCTGAGGCCTGGTGGTTCGACAGTTTCCGCTCCGAGGCAACGATATCAAGCAAAGAGCACAGCTTCTCGACTCTGCCTGCTTTGTTGCCCAACTCCAGAGTTCCCTGTCCAATGCGGGTGAGGACGTATCTGGCTCCGAGCGCGTCGAAACATTCGCAGAAAGGCATAGCTTTGTCTCCATTGGCTGCAAACTCCCGACCCAGGATGTCCAGTAGGGCCATGATGGACTTGTCCAGGACCTGTGATCCCGCAGCTGAGCTAATCGTTGGGAAGTCGTCAAAATAGTGGGAAACGACGGCCTTGAGGGTCTTGGTGATAACCCACCAGATTGCAGCTGATATTCGCACAAAGCCATACACTGAGCCAGTTGCACCGAAAGGGAGGGACAAGCTCCTGTAAAAACGCCAGCCATCGTGGCCAGGGAAGCCGACAACAGCCCATCGCCTGTGTGAAGGTAACACGCTGACCTGTTTATAAGCTTTCGACAGATCAAAGCACTTGCCAAGCCATGATTCCGAAACGGGAGCACGGTTTGAAACAAGTCGATTCATCAGCTCATAGGACATCGCAGCGATATAATCGGTGTCCTGCAGCTGGAGTTTCACCGTAGACGTGTGTGCCAGGTTTAGGGAACTCACCTTGGCGTCGTCTATAACGCGAGGCTTCCTCGACGACCCCTGATACAGGACAAACCTGGGGTTGAGCAGCCATCTGTGTCCACCCATGACGCCATCCATTGCCCTCTCATCATAGGGTCCATCCAGAAACCCCGCAGCAACTTCTTCGTCGGCCAATCTCTCAAGGTCAGCAAGCTCCTCGGCCGATGGGCTTTTCCTTGACGCAATAAGAGATTTCCTTTTCCAGAGAGCCAAGGAGCCCAACTCTTCCTCTGTGAGCAGCGCAGGAACAACATGGGGTAGCTGTCCGTGCGGTTGGTCCGACCTTCCAACCAGCGGCACCCCCTGGGTCAGAAGGTCCAAAACTCCCATGTCTGAAAAGCCCGTCTGTTCAAGCAAATACCTGAAAAGCAGGAGAGGTTTACGTGCCATTCTTCGAGCAACCTCCAGCTCCATGGTCGACTTTAGCTCATGCTCCCGCAGTCGAAAGTCCTTTTCAAGCTCCCTGATCCTGAGGATGGCCCTTAGCCTAAGTTTGGCCAACTCGACGGGGTCCATGGTGACTTCTGTTGAGATGGCTTCAATCGTCGCCTCATTCAGCATGGACTTAGAATTTGCAGGGTGCTCGACGTTCTCGGCCTTTTCCACAAAAAAAAAATCTGGGTTGTGCCATACGCCATACTTGTACGTAGCGCGTGTCCTTTTGCAAGGCTGATCAAATTCGGTAGTTTCGATGGAGCCAGCAGGTTGGCCTGGCGCCTCCATGTTGGCTTCAAGTTGAGGCCCCCTGTTGTGAGGTGAAGCCAGCAATCGCAAATCATCGCGAAACAGCTGTTCAGTGGAGTGCAGAAAAGAAGAAAACTCTGGCACGAGCGGCCGATGGCGAAAATTCTGCTCGCCCAGGCTCCAGCGTAGCAATTGTTTAAGCTTCACGGGCACGTCCAAATTGAGCTTCCGCTGCTGGGCCTTTAAGGCCACACACTCCGCGGCCCTGGTACAGAGTGTGTCAGGGTAGGCAGCTTCCTCCTTCGTGGGAAAAATAATCCCCTCCTCGGACATGTAAGGCTGCCAGCTTGCATGCGCATGTGATTTATCGCAGTCCTGGGCAAGAGAAGAAAAGACACCTGCCGTTGACAACCACTTCGTACGCTTGTCACGCCTTCCACCATGCATGCAAGAGTCAAAGACAACAGCATCCAACGAGTTGAAGAAAAACGAGAACTCGACGTCATCGCACCTGCGCACGAGCAAAGCGAGCAACGGCCATAGCCAACTGCGATGGGGGTTTTCAATGGAGACCATGCATCCACTCGACATGCACCATCGGAGCACCCAAATAGCCAAATGGTAGAGCTGATTAGCACTTTGAACTTTTGCTTGATCATTGGCAGAAAGGCCCGGTCGCCCAAGCAGGTTGTCTGCATCACGAAGCGGGGTTGGCCCCCTGGTATTCTTGCAGTGTTTGGGCAACGGCTTTTCCCTAGCCCTGGAGCAAGTGCCACAGGGGAGCATGTGAATGTAGGAAGGCTGCAAATCTGAAAGCATTTGTTTGAAGACGTCCACACACGGTTGAACAGTGAGATCTAAGTCGATGACATGCACCTTAGACGCATGCCGGTTCTTGTCAAAGTCCACGGGATAAACTGCAAATCCACAAGCCCTTAAGGCTCTGGACAACCCAGCCGATCCGCAAAAAGCTTCCACAACGTTTGTTGTGAGAGAAGTAGAAACATTCTGACCCATGTTTAGTCAGTTGCTACCGCACTCATTGCCTGGGTGAGGCTTGCGGCAGCTTGTCTTCCAGCAAAGATGGTAGCCGTACATACAACGCTTCCCCGGCTTAATCTTTGCTTTGCAGCGTCCCACCTGATATTGCTTGCACAACTGTTTGCCATCATCCATCAAAAAAAAACAACCTGGAGGAACTTCGATTTTGCCTTTGCCCTTGCCTTTTGACTTCCCAGATTCTATTGATTTCCCCGTGCCCTTCTGTACGCTGGTGGAGCTGTCGTGCTGTGGCCTCTGAAAGGATCCAGGCATCGGGGCAATGTAGCACAAAATCTCCGGGTGATCTGACAGCCGCTCAAAAGCTGCATCAAAGGGCTTGGTCGCAAGCGGGTCTCCAACCAGGTTAGACCGTGTCGCATCTGCCACTTTGACCCATAAGGCCCTATCCGCGTTGAGCACCTGGTCAAAGGATATTGGCTTGTAACCTGGCAGTGCCGGTTCGTTCATCTTTTCCATGAGGCGTTGTGTCCAACGATCCAAAGTGGACCTTCTAGCGAACGCTTGTCTGATGTTGTGCTCACCATGAAGGCTAACGTCGTCCGTCCTGGACCTCTTGGACAATCTGACTGTACCATCTGACTGCATGTGAAGGCCATCAACTTGTTTGCTATGGAGCGTCTCGTCCTGCCTGCTGGTGCACTTGTGCAGGGGTATGTAGGACACGCATCCATCATCAAACTGCTGGCACGCTTTGTCGATCAACGCATGTGAAGGCTCCACTTGCGGCGTGAAAGAAACTCCAGTGAGACGGGTTTTCAGCTGTTTTATGCGTTCCATCTTTTCCGGAAGTGGGACTGTCCGAGCTTCTGAGCTCTCGGATCGCTCCAACCTCGACTTGAGATCCTGAATGCTCAACGCGTGCGACTCGAAAAACAGCCGGCGAAATGCGGCTGCTTCCCCGGCGGTAGGGGCGACACCAATGACCTGTTCCACAAACGTCAGCAATGGCCGGTCATCCGCCTGCCCTGGCTGGAATGTTGTGCAATACGCGTATGCAGCAAAAGTACTTTTACCATGACCATCCAAGGCCGTGATGTGCTCCTCCGATATACCAATTTCTTTGGCTCTCAGCTGAAAGGACGCCTTGGAGTCCAGTGCCATGGCAAAAAGGCACAAAACAAGGAATGCGCTCCTACCTCAGAATTGTGTGTAAGATGAGAAGTTAGAGCTTAGATTTGCTGCCACTGTCTGAGAGTCCATGCCTGGGGAGATGGATTCGATTGCCCAATTGTCATACTGGCTGAGCCAGCGGTTGGGATATCCATCTTGCATGGTGACAAGCGACACAATAATTGGCTCTGCATGTGCACACATCGCATCTGAAAGCGGTGAACGTATGATGGCCCAGGCCTCGTGGCTTGAAATCTTGCATGCGTGGCCAAAACAAAAATGGCCGCACAAGGCCTGGGAAGCCTAAAAACAAGAGCAAGTGCGGCCGTTTTTGCTTCCCGTATCTGAGTTCGCTATTCGAGAGCCTTCAGAGATGAGGAGCACATTGCACAGACCATGGGAGCATCTGAGATGTCCTGATGCTTCGCTTTCCTGAAATTACAGGATATTGACCTTCCACACATCAAACGCGTGTCGTCATCATGTTTGACATGGTGCACCACGCTCGAAAACTTGTGGACCCAAAGGTTTTCGCCCTCACACCCTTCGGGGAGAGAACGGTCAAGGTTTTCTTTGACATCTGCCGAGTCGTCTGAAACCGAATCTGAAATATCGCAGTCGGAAGAACTAGAGCTACTAGTTTCACTTCGTTGAGACGTCTCACTTGGCTTCTCAACTTCCGAGGCAGCATGGCCAACGAGCTCAAACAGCCTCTCAGCTCGGGGCTTGTCCGGATTGAAGGAGTTGTCCCTCATCCTTTGCAACATGACATGAATCTTGGCGCACAAGGCAATTTGAGTGTCACGTGAATACAGGAGAGCGGACTTGTGTTGCCCCGGGACGTGATGTCCCAAAAGGGATTGTTCGTCAGGCGTGAACATCAGGGATTTCGCACACCAGCTAAGCAGAGTAGCCTTGCATCCATGTATCGTGAGGCTCTCCACCTCTGTCCGTCCGAAAGCCGGTTGTAGCAATTCCCTGAGCCAACATGTCGCTTCACCTGTACTCATCCTGCTGCCAGACCATGTTGAATGAACATCTGACCAAGACATTGTAAAGAAAGGAGCTGACTGAAAACCTGCGTCCTGACGAGCAGTTGCAAAAGACTCACCCCAGGAAGCATCATCAAAGGCAGTTGCCACGGCCGTGAAGGGCAGCAGCTCAGCCTGTAGTTCCTTGGTCAAGGAAGTCTTGCGCCTTGATGTGTCAGCCTCCAGCAACACAATGTCTGCATGCTTGGCAACCTGCATTGTTGCAATGAACAGGGAGTCATGCCATCTGGACCCTGCAAAGATGCAAAACAACATGCTGCCGGCAAGGACGTTTCTAAGAAGATCGCCGTGAATGCAGATGCGTTCCAACTCCTTCACCATGTCCAGCGTGAGTACTCTGGCAGGTTTGCGTCTGCGTTTTGTAACATATTGTGCATGTGCCGCCCCTTTGATCCTGGGAGTGATTTCTAAGGGCTGCACGAAACCAAGCATAGCATCTGCAAATCGCATCGCCTCCAAGAAATGACTGGGGGCAGTGGCCCCGAAATTTGAGCTCCTCATGAAGCACAGGAACTGATAGATAGTCGCCTCTCGCTGAGAAAAAGGATTGCCCTGTTGCTTCGAGCGTAGAAACTTGCAGAAGGTCCAAAGAGAGTGGGACCTCTTCATGAGGGTGCCTGTACTCTTTGGGGCAAATACATCCGAAAAGATCTGCGTAATTACCTCAGCTGGTTCCAGGGAGCCTGCAAAATTGACCAGCGTCCTGCCCAGCCTTGTGGCATTAGGGTCCATGAGGACCATCGTTCGGAAACGTGACAAAGCTTTGCTGCGCAAGTCATCTTCTGAGGACACCAAGCTCATGTACTTCAACCGCTTATTGGCATAAGATGATGACGACGACTGCTGTTGCAAAATAGGCACTGGGACGGTTGATGTGTGGGAAAGCGTGTCCGCCATGCCAACACGTGTTCCACGCAACAAAAGCCGCAAAGAGTCGTCCAGAAAATCTGTGGGTAAACTCCGCTTGAAAATTGAACCAAGCGATGCACTTTCCCAAGGCATTGAAAATCTTCCTGCACTGTCAAATGCCATGGACGTGACCGTTGATTCAACCAAGCGATTCATGGTCACTGACAAGTCTGAAGGTTTGTCAGCAGGGTTCTTAGCCTGAAAAGCAGGTTGAGCAACCCGAGAAGGTGCGGGGTTGTCATCGAATTGACTGATTCCACCTGATGCTGGAGGCCGCTCCTCGGACACAGCCGACTCGGAATTGTCGGAGAGTATGGACTCAACAGGTGGTTCAAAGATTCCAACATCTGCACTGCCGCCCGCATCCTGCGCCCCATCTTGGGGTTGACGGCGCTCCATCCATCGCTTTCGTATGCCCCCCGTGACGCCAAACTCCATAGCTCAGACGCCACGAAGGGTTTTTTAACCCGCCCTCCACACCCATTGTAGCACTTGAGGTGCTACGGCTGAGGAAAGAGGGATGATTAGAAAGATGTTCGAGCATGAGACTGTCGACACGTCTGTTATAAAAATTTGAACATAAAAAGAGCTGACGGAAAATCAGAGTGACCGAAAGGTTTCAATGGCTCAAGCGCATGTTCCCTTTATACAGGAAGGGAGACTGCTATTACCCTTAAAAAGACAAAGCTATCAACTTCGTTGAGAGCACTCTTCATGCTCATGCAATCCTTCTTTGGATGTCAATCCGGACCACCACAGGTCCGGGGGCATGATCGGAATGTGTGTGTACGGAAATGTGGGAACTCCGTCAACCGTTCCCGAAGCAGTCTGCATGGTCCCTTTTATGGGATCACACGTAGGTGTGAGCGCCTTGAGGGTATCCGGGTCAGACAGCAAGCTCGGGTCGAGTAGACCAATCTGCAAACATGCATGTTTCCATTTGCGTCCATCATTGAACGCCTTGGTGTAGATGTCAGCCGCCATTCTGTCGGTGACCTCATACGCCAAATACATGTAATCACGTGTGAACATCTCATGCATCCACGAAATGCAAACACCATGGCTTCTCTCAAGGTGGCGCATCGTGGGGTTTCTCCCCGATCGCACGACACCGATCATAGCCTTGTTATCGTCATAGAACACAAAGTTCGGTGACTTCTTGAGAATCCGCTGCAACAACTTCAGAGCAGGCATACCCATGGCTCTCATGGCAACATCGGCCGCAACTATTTCGGCCTCGGGAGTTGAGTGACTCACACAACCCTGTCTTTTTGCCAGACAACGGAAACCGAGTATTAGGCCCTTGTATATTCAAGTGTCCACCAGAGGTGGAACGTAGCAAGTCGACACATCCTGCAAAGTCAGCGTCCGCATACAAGGCCAAGTGCACATCATCCATGGAGTCTCCGACCCAACCGACCATGCGCCAATGTTTCGTATGATGCACATAGCACATCAAATGATGCAAACCCCGATCATCGGAGTCAGTCCACCTGTGCACATTCCGTGCCAGGCGATTCATTTGCCGCAACAAATCGAAGCGGGCAATCCGCGCACCGTACAGCAACTTCATTAGTACGCTAGCGGCATGCGGAGCAAGGTGTCCACGCACGGGCTCCTTCGTGGCCAACTCAGGAGTCCCTCCCCGCTGGTCCGGCGCTGTGGCAGAACCGTCGGTGGGCACAAGATTGTTACACCAATTGCACACGACTGACGGCCCCTCTTTGGCAGGCTTCCGTGAGACGTGATTCTTTGTTTCTTCATGCAACTCAGGAGTGACAACCTTATTCAACTTTACGTCGCCCGCCACCTCAAGATAGCGGTCGACACAGGAACGTAGGAACTGTTCCATGTCATAGGTCACCGTTGTTACGCGGTGTCCGTTCCCGAGAGTGACGTTTCCCTTGCTTTGGTTACAACCAAGGTACATGTCAAGTCCAGTCTCGGGCTCAATCTTCAAACGTGTACGTAACATGCTCCATCCCTGGGCAAGGTTCTTTTGCGGCCCTGCCATTTTGAAGTCGTCGACGTGCACAACCAGAACAAGCTGGAGCTTTTCATGAATGTACACTGACGGCCACTCCTCACCGATGGGTTCAAAACCAACGGCGCGCACCGATTCATCACAGTGCTGCTCCCAGAATGTTCCCGCATCTGGGTGTCCGTACAGCGCCTTCCTCAATGGGACGACTGGTCTTCTGTACTTAACCCAATTGCATTCACTCGGCACAGCCTCTGGTGGCAACTCAATCCAACATGGCGTGCCTCTCAGTGTGGCCTGGATGTACGCTTGAACAGCGTCGGCCATCTGCACATCCCAACCATCATGACAACCCAAAAAATCCGCCCAACGCGAGGCCTCAAACGAAGCAGGAGAGTTCCCCAAATCTTGAAACATCGCAGCTTCAAAGCTTTGATTCTTCACTTGGTTCCCCAGCAACACGCCTCTACCCTTGAACTTCCTCTTAGGATCACCAACAGGCAACTGTGAGTGCTTTTCAACACAAATACCATGTGCGCGAGCCATGTGTATCTCTTCCCCTTTCGCTTTTGCCTCCTTGGCCACAGCGTCATATTCTCGCACTGCGCCAAGGTCGAAGACGCCCTGGTCGATTAATCCCGACCATTCTTTCTTCATTGATGCCAACGCATCAGGGTTGGTCAGCATTTCTTTCCGGCCAACCGGTCTGGACACTAAAGCGTCGAAGAATCGTACAACTTTTACGGCTTTCTCTCTGTGCTGTATTCGCTCAGAAGTCACGCACGGCATCGATGGGTATTTCTTGGCTTCACCGTTTTCTCCTATTGCGGGCAACGCGAGTGGCACTTTTCCAGAAACTACCTCAGCAGACTCCTCCCATTCATACCAGGTAAAATCCGTCGACACATCGATCTGTCCCCGATGTCGTCTCAGCTTCGTCTTTCTGACGCCCTATGACTGATGCAACTGCCTTCGTCCAATTTGGAGTCGACTTCGACCGCTCCTCAGATTTGAACTTCCAGGCGTAAATTACCACCAGACACGCAAAT